CGAGGAGCAACTGGTCCGCTGACCTCTGGGAACGTGGTGGGACATACGGTTGTAGCGGGGGGCGGGGGGGGGGGCACTGTTCAGTGATTTGTAGACATACAGGAGTATTTTAACTGGATTCGAAAGTGAAATGGTAACCAGTGCAGCGAGGCCAAAACTGGTGTAATGTGCTCTCTTTTGTCTGTACTGGTTAAAAATCGGGCTGCTACATTCTGGACCACTTGTAGTCATGCAATGGAGGTTTGACTGATACCAAACAAGACCAAATTGCAGTAATCAAGCCTAGATGTAATGAATGCATGAATTACTGTCTCCAGTTTATTTTTGGACAATATGGGCTTCAGTTTAGACAGCCGCCTCAGTTGGAAGAAACATGATTTAACAATCATGTTTACATGATTGTTTACATTCACACTGTACTTGAACGGCGCTTGAGTTTTCTTCTACCGGACCGAGACCTAGGTTTTAGCCTGGGCCAGAGTTCGTCTTTTTGTTCCGTGACAGAGTTCGATGGCGAGTTCACACCATCCCAAACGAACCAGACTTCCTAGACAAAGAGTTAGGGACAACAGGGCTGGTTTGAATGCACCCTATGTCTCTCGGTTGACCTGGGAATGCCTTGGAGTCCTCCCAGAAGAGCTGGACGAGGAGGCTGTGGAAAGAGATGTCTGGACTTCCCTGTTCAAGTTGCTGCCCCCACGACCTGACTTCAGAACAAGTGAAAGATAATTAATGGATGGATGGTAAATTAAGGTAAGAAGAAATATCAGTAAAAAAACAAACCTTTATTTGCATACTAAACACTACAAATATATAACAAAAAACTGACTGTGATAGTTCTAACCTTTGCACAATCAATTCTTACCACATCACAAGTTGTCCATCAAATGTTGTCAATCAAAGACATGGTGCTTAGCGGCTAACAAGACAGCTAAAATTAGCGTCTTGTTAGCCGCTAAGAACCGTCTTCAGTGATATAAGCTACTGCTTTGTTAATGTGGCGCTGCCTCTCAAGATTGCAAAATCGGTGCTGTTCTTTTTCTGCCTGTCCAACTTCACACACGCTTACTAACGTTGTAAAGGTGGAGCAGCTGCAGAGGATTATTATTTAATATATTCAGATAGTTTATTTTTTTAGACATTTACACCCCATCTCACTCTCGTTTTTAAATGAGGTTGTTGGTCACATGAAACCCTCAGGCTCCCCTGCTGATCCCATCCCTGCTGCATTTTTTTAAACAGGTTCTACCCTCAACTGGATCCTCTGTTCTTGCCATTATAAACAGCAGTTTGGCTATAGGTGTGGTTCCTGATGTTTTAAAACATGCAGTGGTAACTCCATTAATTAAAAAAACCCGGACTTGACCCTGCAGCTTGTTCAAACTTCAGGCCAATCTCAAAACTTCCATTTCTTTCTAAAATCTTGGAGAAAATAGTTTTTAGTCAACTAACCAGGTTTTTGAATGTAAATGGAATTTTTGAGATTTTTCAGTCAGGATTTAAACAACTGCACAGTACCGAGACAGCTTTAATAAGGGTCTGTAATGACATTCTGCTAGCGAATGACTCTGGTCAATCTGTGATCCTGGTACTCCTCGACCTTACCGCTACATTTGACACTGTTGATCATACCGTAGCATCCTTATGTCTCGGCTAGAACACTGGGTTGGGATTACAGGGGTGGCGCTAGAATGGTTCTGTTCGTATCTGAGTGACAGGAGTTTCTGTGTTAACTTTGACAATCATTTTTCTGCTTCTGTCCCTCTTTCCTGTGGGGTCCCACAAGGCTCCATTCTTGGACCCCTTCTGTTCTCATTGTATCTGCTCCCCTTGGGGTCAATCCTGAGGAAACATGGTATTTCGTTTCACTGTTACACCGATGATTCTCAGATTTATCTGCCTTTAAAACCAAACAGTTCCTGCTCCATCCACCCTTTGTTAAAATGTCTTGATGACATCAAGACTTGGATGGCTGCAAACTTCTTGAGTTTTAATGATCAGAAGACTGAGGTCATTGTGTTTAACCCAAGCTCTACCACTGTCACTGATCCTGTAAACCTGCACTCCCTTCAGCCACATCTAAAGCAGTTGGTTACCAATCTCGGGGTAGTGTTAGACTCGGACTTTAAGTTTAATAAACAGATCAACTCTGTTCTACAAAAAAACTTTCAGCTAAGGCAAATAGCAAAGCTTAAGTCCGTTCTATCCAGATCCGACCTTGAAAAACTAGTCCATGCATTTATTACAACCCGGCTGGACTACTGTAACTCACTTTATGTTGGGATAACTCAGACTTCACTTTCACGTCTCCAGCTCGTACAAAATGCTGCAGCTCGGCTACTAACAGGAACTCACAGGTTTGAGCACATTACTCCGGTTCTGTCCTCTCTTCACTGGCTTCCTGTACGTGTCAGAGTTGATTTTAAAATTCTCCTGCTGACATTCAAGTGCATTAACGGCCTTGCGACATCATACCTCTCCGACCTTCTTCATCCTTATGCTCCTTCTCGGGCTTTGAGATCATCAGACCAGCTGCTTTTGGCCGTACCAAAAACCAAGCTGAAGCTCTGAAGAGATCGAGCATTTTCAGTCTTGGGCCCTAAACTTTGGAACAATCTGCCCATCAACATTCGACAGGCCACCTCAGTCTCTGCTTTTAAAACTCTCCTAAAAACACACCTATACTCATTGACATTTAACACAGGGTGATTGGATTTAGATCTAGTTTTTCATTGATGCTGATTCTGTTTATGCTTTTGTTATTATTCCTATTTAACACAAGGTCATCAGATCTGATTTAGTATTTCATTGTTTCTAATTATGTTTTCGGTTTTATATTTTTATTCCACGTGCTGTAAATATATCTTGCTACTTTTTATCTGATGATGTGATTTTTTGTTAAGCACTTTGGTAACAGTTTCTGTTTTAAATGTGCTCTATAAAAAAATCTGACTTGACTTGATTTAGTAGAGTTATAGCTGTTTCTTAATAAATGTGCCTGTGCGACAATTATGTCAAAGCTTTAACTCAGGAATACATTTTTGTTATTACTTTATGGAAAGGAAAAAAAACAAACAAACATTAATTCAACCTTTATTTATCCAGGTTAGTCTCATTGAGCCTCGGGGACTCATTTACAAGAGAGATCTGATTTTAACAAAGAATGAGGACAACAGTAGACAAATCGTAAAAGAATGCATATAAATTGAAAAATAAATGGAAGAAAATTATATTTAAAAAAACAGCTAGATTGTAAAGCAATGTAAAATACTAAAAACAGGAACATGTCTGCAAGGGTTTGCGCCATGAACTTAGCAGATGTTTTAATATTGAGATATATATCATATATCACGATTTAGCTTAAAATATTAAGATATGAATTTTGGTCCGTATCGTGCAGCCCTAATACATATATATATACATA